TGGTAGTCGAGGATCGGGGGGGATGAAATCATTCTGATGTTACACGGTGCTGCGTAAGGCATTGGTAATTCAGAGGCACAGATCGTTAGGCATAAACTGTTTCACAACTGCTACAAAAGGGTTTGAACTTCCACGTGTCGGATATTTTCGTCGCTCGGGTAGTCACATCTCCTTTTCCGCAAAACAAGAGCATAAACCTCATGGACTGGCTTCACTTCTTCTCCATAAAATCTTCATTGTTCAACCGATCAGAAAGTCTTCTTTCAGCCACATTAGTATTGACAGACCCCTTCTCAGTAGAGGCTTGAGCACACTTCCGTCGACCATTAGTCCTTCTTAGATATATATAAACCATTCATCGCTTTCCCGATGTGTGGCATCAAAATCAAACTGCCGATGGCCTGCCTTAATAAGATATGACATTACGTTCATCTCAACTACATCACAATAAATGAAGCTCATCGATATAAGTTCGGCAAATGGAAAGGATACTCGACACACTTATCAAACCTTGTACGTCGCTACACTCCTTTCGAATCCACCATAATGTATAGCGGCGGGAATGCTTTCTGTCTTTAATTCTAACCTCTTCTAAGGAACACACTCGGTCTCTGCTCTCTCTCTAGGTTATATATATATATATATACTATACGCCACGAGCAGCAGACGAGCGACGACGAGCAGACCGACCGAGAAATATCGAGCCACCAACCCGACGCTGGGTAGCGAAGTTTTGGCAGGTTCGAACTGTGCGCTCCGATGGATAGGGTGGGCCCCCCCCACCGGGCATCACCTCGCCGCCGCCTCACCCAATCAGCAGGTTTTTTTTCAACTTGGAAAATAGAGCCTCTTTTTGAAGAAGTAGGTTGCAATAGTGGATTGAGACTCTCTCTTCAAGGTGGTGATGTAGGGTGGGATTTGTCACATTCAGACTAGCAAGTTCAATGGGAGAAACTTGGTAGCAAGTTTCTGCCATATTTCTGCTCTGCTCTCTTCTCTCTCTAGATTATATATAATAGTATAGTATATATATATAATATATATATGATATAGGTAAGACTCCTATGTATATGAACTTAAGAAATATATTAAAACCTGAGAATTAAGAAATATATTAATCATCTTTCCTTGCTGAATAATTTCTTCAAATAGGTGAACCCAAATCACCCCATTAATCAAAGAAACAAAAAGAAAAGAGCTTCTATGAGCCAGTATACATATTCTCCCTTATTATCCAATCTTATCAACCTTGTGAGTCGTGAATGGCACAGATCGCCCTGTTGTATGCAGTTGTTCTGATAAAGTTAGCTGTTCAGGCTCGCCATCCTGCGGGACTGCTGTGAAATTATGACAGCAGTTGAGGGGCATTCTTGGAAAACCACCTCATATCCATCTCTAAAGTTATCCATCCCTGGACCTAGCAACTGCCAGAAAAGCCCACCAGTTAATGGGCCTCCAACTCGGGCAGAAGCGTAGATGGTGTTGTATGCGGTCCAATAGTAGGCATTTCTTTGGTTCGTGTTGAATTGTTTGGTTGATCTTCCGAACTCTGTAACGAGGAGTGGTTTTCCAATGGAGCCTGCGTCTTGTGTATGCGACGTGATCCAACTCTGTAGGAATGCGGTTTGCGCCTTGTCGTCTGCCCCGTTGATCCTGCATGTTTTGAGTAGTGTATGGACGGTTAGGATCGAAATACACTAGTTATAATAGTTTTATATTCTAACATGCATGAGCCTGTTTTTAATGGTTGAAATATAAAATATTCTAGTAGGTGCAATTTTTTCTTAAATTTGCTTTAACTGTATGATGGGCAAAATTTGAACTTACGTTGCTCTGATGTTATTTTAAACTTATTTTTATGGCACCAACCAAATCTTTAAAGTTGTGATGATAATTGAGGGTTATAATTATATACTATAACAATGGAGAGCAACTCCTTCATTATTCCGCTGCTGTTGAGTAACAAAATCATTCAAATCAATCTACAAAGCGTAGGTAGATACGCGCAATTTATCATTTTTTTTAAAGGTTTGCATATGGAAAATTTGAGGAGGTGCATGCACTGTACGTATGATTATGCAACTCTGGTTTGTCCTCATATGCATGACGTATGCAATATTATTTGCTCTCATTTTTTGTTTTCTACAAAATGCGTGAATACATTGGGGAGCATACCGTTAGTGTTGAGACTCAAGTATATATAAGTTCACTGTTCACATAAAAAGATTATAATAGATTTAAATAGAAAGTTCAGGTTAACAATCATCTGCATAAACTTTTAGGCCAGGAAAGTGCTTAATGTATACGAATCAGATCACAATAACTATTCTCTAATGAGTTCAGCTTTATTTGATCAGATTGATAAGGTTTAAGACAATTTACCATTGATCAGGGTAGATATGAATGGTAGCGAAATCGATATGAGGAATCTGATTATTGGCAATAAAATCAGACCCAACTTCATAACCAGGATTGAACTGTTTCCTATCAGGCCTCGATTCGCCATAGAATCCCTCTAGCCCAGCCTCAAGCATATGATTACCATCGATCGATTTCACATAACCAGCCATTTCAGATATCCAATTCTGTAGCACAACATTAGCCTAGTTCATATATTTTGCTTTATATCAAGAGTTTTAAGTGAGAAGGTATTGAGAGCGTTATGTTTTGGACCTGCAGAGTTGCACCAGAATTGTCACTCTGACAACGGGGTTCGTTCATGAGCTCCCATGCGAATATGGTAGGATCGTCCTTGTACATTACACCCGTTATCGAGTTCATCCTTGTGAGAACAGCCTGAATCAATGACGACCGTCATGAGATTTCAATCAAGGTCTATAGAACACTATATAGATTGATGATCGAAGCTCAATTTTAAGTACCTTGACATGGTTTTTGTAGAATTGCTTGGTGAGAGGATGCCTGAAGAAATCATCATCAGAGTTCAACTGCTGCCCTTGATTCCTCGCCCACTGCACATACTGCTTCTTTCCTCCATACCCCTCCCAGTTATTTACCAAACTTAGTATTAGATGCACACCGTTCCTCTTGGCCTCAGAAATCACAAAATCTAGAGCCTGGAATAACAGAAATGGAAGGAAAATAGTTAGCGCTGGTGGAGATCGAGAACTCAGGCTGGGAGGAATTAAATGGGTATTAATTAGAGGCTGGATTACTCCTAAGGTTTACACTTTTAGATATCATATTACAACTTTTAGTTCAAGTTGGTTAGTCTTTAATTTACTTCTTTCTAATGTAGGATTATCACTTTGATTATCTCTAAAGCCAAAAAGTAGTAGAGAGTTCACTTCTCAATCATAATCATCATCTATTATTTTATGAATAATTGTGGCTCAGAAATCAGAAATGAATGTAAATTATGGAAGTTACGATGGTAAACTGTCAAATATGAAATGAGTCACAATCCTTCAAAGAATTAGAGACAGACAAGTATGATTAAAACTGTGAATTTCTCAAAACCCACAAGAAGTTTGATACATTTTACGGTAACCTTGAACAAGTTTGGAAATATTAATGCTTAACACCCAAAACTTACATAGTTCGTTTGAAAAAAAATTCAGATAAACTACCAACTATGTGGGGGTTATGTGAAAAGCTATGAGAGTTATAAATTGACATTTTTAAACTTTATCGTGATCATCTCAAAATGGGCCAAACGTACGTATTGAGGGATTTGTGAAGTTTACCCTAAAGAAAATTGAAATCTCTACTTCTCTCTTTGACATGCAAATTAACATTGAGACCATAATTAACTAGCTATATATATACATGCACACGTTTTATACCTTGAACATGCTCTCATCATATTTGCCAGGGGATATCTGAAGAGCCCTATAACCACCATCACTAAAAGCCCAAGTCCTAACAACATTCAGCCCATGACTGGTGGCTTGGTTAAACGCGTCAGACACCTGATGCCTCGTCGATGGGTCGCCCGCCGCGTACATCATCCAGTAAGCGTTGAAGCCATTAGCGTAGAACGGGCGACCGTTCATTATGAAACGGGTCCCACGGGTCGAGGCAAAACCTGAGCCTCTTCTGATCACTGCGGCATTGGCAATTGAGAGGTTGAAGAGGAGGTGGGAGAGGAAGAGAAAGCTGAAAATGGATTGTTTGCTCATTTTGATCTGATGGTACGTTTTTTGTTTGGATTGTGTTGGAGGTTTGAATGGTTGAGGGGGGTTTATATAGGGTTTAGCGAGTGCAAGAGAACAAAAGGGTGTTCAGATTTTACTGCTGAAGATTTGGTGAGATGATGGAGGGAGGTAGCCAATGAGGGGATTGATATGCACATGAGCACCGAAACTTTCTGTTACATTTTTTTTTTTTTTTTGAGTTATTGTTTTTAAAGAAGAAACTGAATGTAGATATATAACCTTGAAACAGAAGTAACTAACTTTGGAAGCTTTAAAATCCTGATGAATTTATAAATTTTATCTGTAAAACTAAGTAACATACAATTTCTTATTGGATTACATGATCAAGAGAAGAGATATTAATTGCACCAGACCAACATGGATATTGATACCTTGTTAGTTTTAATTATGCAACCAAGGGTATGTTTGGCAATCGGAAAATATATAAATGGGAAGTGATGAAAATTGAGGAGTGACTCACCTTCTGAATAAATTTCATATTTGGCAACAGAAAGTGTCTGAAAAGTAAGTGAAAGTGAGTGTGTCGCAATATTATTGGCTTTTTAACCTTCTTTCATTTTCTCAAAAAAAAAAAAATTTTGAGGAGATGGAGGAAAAGTAAAGTGACCAGAAGCGAGAGAAATTAATTTTTATCTCTTGTTTTCCGATTTTAGTTTATTAATTGTGTTTCACCTTTTACTGTCTACTTTCCATCACAACCAGAGCATAAACTTTCATATTTATCATTCTAATGTGGATATAGAAAATTCACTTTTTTTTTTCTTTACTCATGATTATTTATAATTTTCATGAACGATTACAATTGTTTCAGTTCACCAGTCGATCTGTATATCACATCAATTATATTCAAGATAACATTAATTTCTACCTTCTACTGATCAGGTAGAAATTTGCGCATGCGCACAAAGCTGGTGCATGTTGTGCAACTGCATTCCATGCGCCGTCATAAAATTGTATCCCTTAGATTGTAAGCAAGCTTCTTCTATCCCTTCAAGCTAACCTGTAAACTTGCTTGCTTATATACGCGATTCGTCAGATTTCCTTGTGATATTGTAGTCCGATGAACGTATGTATGTTCACCTCTTGGCTCTCCTGTTTGTTTTATTTTGTCATTGAAAACTTTCAGTTTGTTAATTAGTTGCACTCGCATTAATTCATACTTCCTTGCGTGAGAGCTACGTTGTCGTCGTTTTATCCTTGAAAAACAAACAAACTTGAAGACGGAACTTCTGTTGCAATTGCATTGAACTCATTGTCCCATGCAAAAGTTGACAACATCTACAGAAGAGATTGCGTAGATCAAACCAAGCGCACAAGGGTGAAAGTAAGAGGCTATTTTGGTTTGTTGACAGAAAAGTTTAAGTAAATGATATTAATTAAGCATTAATTAATTTGTTGCGGGAATCTACTTCAAATTTATTGTTTCGATGTCTGCAAATTTATCGCGAAGAGTGCATCCTCGTTTCAAATTCAGTGTTTATTTAAATGGGAGCGAACTAAAATATTTGAGAAGGTTTTTTTTTTTTTGATGATGGGACATTGGTTTATTAATTATATGTTTTTTTGACTAGCTAGTGTTGCTAATCAAACATTAGAAATATAAATACGACTGCTTAATTTATTTACTTGTGCAGTTCTATTTCACTCAACTAGACAATCCATAAAAATAAAAGGCAAAAGTATTAATTGTTGGGATAAAGAAAATTCTAATCTCTAGGATTTGGATGTTGACAAAGGAAATTTAAGAAGATATCAAAACAACCAATGTTCAAATTAATATCATCGGAAGAAAAGAATAAATGACTGAGTTTTGTGCAAAACATATACCACACACGATACATTTCCAATGGCATGATCGATGCTCCACTTGGATCTGTAATGCCTATTGAAAATCATCAAAAATTCTTTTTGCTGATATTTTAAATTAAAAATTTAAGTGAAACAATGGAACACACCATGATAGTTCGCCCAGAAAAAATGGATAATATGGGCCCCACCACGAGATTTACCCATGAATGGGCCCAGGAATCCGCAACTGCCCACTTGGGGTCCCATGCCATCGCCATAAGGCCCATAACAGCCAACCGTCACCCGAGGTCTTCTAGTTCAAGACAACACTGTTTTTATAAAGTAAAATTAAAGAAGGGGAAAAAGTAAAGGAATTAAGCCGAAAGGAAACTCTCTTTTGTTTCTTGCGTCAGTTTGTACCGCTGATGTATCTGTGTTTGCACCGCCTACGACAAAATACCAGAATACAAGTAGAAAAGCATGACTTGAGAATATTCAAATACCAGGGAGAGTATTTAGTTAGGTCGCGGTTATAAATGTAAATTATCATTGTAATAGGAGTACCAATACTTGCGTGCATGACACAGAACATGGCGGAGTAACCTTGTCAAATTGTCAAGGATACTGATGGATCCTAATGTTAGAGGGGAATTTCGCTTGATTTTAGCGACGTTAAGAATATTTGCGTTAATTCTCGAAGATGAGGGCATTTCCGTCGTTTTCTGCACGCGAGGCGTTCTTTTTGAAAGTGTGGGGTGTTTATGAAGTTTCTAAAAAATTTGTCGCACAGTTCTTGCTGTTAGAACACTTTGGCAAAATGTTTTACCAAAATATCTTACCAAATTAAGCATCGAAGTTGTGGCAAGAATTTGCAGTGTTATACGCGCTAACACAAAACATAACAACTATCAGGAAGTAGTCTCATTATGTCAGACGTCGCGACATTAATGATTGTCACACCAACAATATCTTGTTTGCGCTACTTCAAACATATATTTATTCTCATTTAAGCCATTTTGTGCATGAGAGAAGGTAATGCAGAATGTAGCTCATGATGTCTTTCATGCATTAATGAAGTTAGAAATACAACACTACATTCCATGAAGTATAGCTTCTGCTCACTTCCAAAAAAGTTGGCTCCATTGTTGGCAGCCATCACCCTAGAACTCCTTGGAAACACTTGCATGAAAGGAAATACAGAATGCAGGGAAATGAGAAGAAATTTGAGATACAGGCTAGCTTTTTTACAAAGTAAAAGGGTTTCAGAACTGCAAGCCATTTTCTCGAGCAGCGGCAGCGAGGGCTTCTATGCGTCCGTGGTAAGGATATCCGCCACGGTCGAAGGCCACCTTTGTTATTCCTTTTTCCGTGCAAGCTTTAGCAATGGCTTCACCTACTTTCTTCGCAACCTCCTGTTAGATATGTAGAAACTTGAGGGATCACTAAGATGCTTGGAAAAGATATCAAATTAAAAAATTTTAACCACATAATAATTCTTGAGCCATAGATCCTCAAACAGTTTTTTGAAGGGTAGATTTCAGAAAGCCCCATGAACTTTGGTGTGTTTTGAACAAAACAACTTCACAAATATGAGAAAAGTCCCCTAAACTTGCCCCACTTAAGAACCATGACTGACTACAGTTTGTTTAAATTGTCACATATTTTTGGAACAGTTTGACCCTTAAGGAGTTTTTACTTTTAGGGGGAACTAAAAGTGAATTGAAAGTGTGAAATTCACTTTTTTGCACGTGAGAAAGTGAATTCACTTTAGCATGTAAGTGAAACACAGTATTTGTTTAGAAAACTAAATTATTATTGAAAGCAAGGCTTTAAATATCGGATATCGGGAAAATATCGGATGACCAAATTTCATATCGGATTGTGGATATCGAGGATATGGGGTAAATATCAGAATGCCATAACGGATGTTTTCATATATAGTATAATGCACTAAAATATAATCTCAACATATTTACGGAAATCTAAGCATACAGAATGTAAATAATATATGCTTAGTATCAATAATCCGCCTTGTAAAACAAATAAAAATACAAATCAACATTGTAAGATTTTGTCTGGTTTTTTAGGCCAAAATGTCATTTGATATAATGGGAAATCATGATATCTCGCCCAAAAATTACCAAATGCGGTATATTATTTTGCGACAAGTCATTAAAAGGATATATCGGCCAACATATAATTGATATATCAGTCATATCAGGGATATATCGCCTAAAATACCCAAAAAGTGGTAAAGGATATTTAGAGACCATATCGGTTACGGCAAGCCCTGTAAAAAGATATATCGGGGGATACATCGGGCCATGTTGGGATATTTAAAACAATAATTGAAAGTAGGAAAATAAAGATGATGTGGCAATATCATTTATTTATTTATTATTTTAAAATCATAGTATATTTTTAATGATCTTTTGGTAGCTACAAATTATTAAATTGACTGTGAGTATTATTCATTAGATAAAATTACTTCTTTATTTATTTAACAAAAATATATTATTTGTAAAAAAAATTATCTTACCATATAGTACTCATTTAATAGCTATTAATTATTTTACATTTTATATGTTTTATGTAGCAATTTTAGTAAGTTGAGAGCTATGGACTAATGATGTAGAACACACAGCAGACACATTTATGTCAAAGTAGGACAGTCGCAAGCCCAAATGCGGGTCTGGTCGAAGAAAATAACTAGTTTCGAAGAAACGGTCGTAACTTTCAAACCATACGTCAGAATTGGATGAATTATATATAAAAATCGACTATCTCGACGAGATGGAGCCATCCAAACCCACCCCTTCGGGTTCGGTTTGCGTTTTTCGTTTCGCCAAATTCCTTACGGTTTGAGAGATATTTGCACTACTGTCCGTTTTTTACTATTTTTAGTAATATTTTAAGATTCTGTTTTGTTTAGGAAACAAATCCGATTTGATCTCAGATTTGACCGGTGGACTTTCCTAGTAATAAGGAGTCTTTTTAGGAGTTTTAATATTTTAGAAATTCTTTTACTATTTTTGGTAGAGTTTGAGTCATTGTAGGAGTCTTGTTTCTTTTTTTTTCTATTTAAGAAGAGTCTTGTAAGCCCTAGAGGCATACTTTTGATTAATAAAAATTTCGTTTTTTCCTCAATATTTCTTCGTGGATTCGAAGCTCTTCGTGGATTCGAAGATTTTTCTTGGTGGATTCCGAGGCTACTACTTCTGCGCTGCGTTAATTGGTATCAAAGCCTTGTTCCTCTGATCCGATGGCAGGTGATGAAGCCCCTATTTCTCGAACTGAGTTCGACGTGCTGAGGTCGGACGTCGATCAACTGAAGACCAATGGTGATCAGAGAAGACTGCCATGGAGCAACTTACGATGGCAGTGGAGCGTCTGAACCCGATGGGAGTTCACAATCGCGTTGATGGTCGCCAACGACGTGATCTGACTCCATATGAAGAATCCGACAGCGAGGAAGATCCCTATGCACCCTCACGCCGCTGTGTTTATCACAGAGACCGACGACGAAGGGATAATTATGACACTGGAGGTTTCAAGATGAAGATGGATCTGCCATCTTTCAACGGGCAACTTCATATTGAAGAGTTCCTCGAGATGGATCTGCCATCTTTCAACGGGCAACTTCATATTGAAGAGTTCCTCGACTGGATTGCAGAAGTAGAGAGATTCTTTGAGTATATGGAGATCCCAGAAGAACGGAAGGTAAAATTAGTGGCTTACCGACTCAAAGGTGAAGCTTCAGCTTGGTGGGAATCTGTTTGTCTGAATCGATCTCGTCAAGAAAAACCGAAGGTCGATAGGTGGGAAAAGATGAAGAAGCTCTTGAGAGCCCGTTTCTTGCCAAGTGATTATGAACAAGTTTTATTCGGGCAGTACTAGAATTGTAAGCAGGGTGGAAGAACCGTGGATGAGTACACACAGGAATTCTATCGACTATCATCCCGCAACAACTTACACGAGAGCGAGGCCTAACAAATGTCTCGATATACAGGGGGGTTAAAGATGACGATTCAGGATCGTGTATCTCTACAGTAGACCTATACCTTGGCGGACACGGTTAGCCTAGCCGAAAAGATGGAGCGACAACTCGGACGAAATAGTAAAGGTCCATGGGTAGCTTCCGACGGATCGCGCACGAGCTTTAATCGTGGTAGACAGTCCCAAACAGTTTCTGATCAAGATACTACAACGGAGAAGGGCAAGGGTCCAGCGACAACAACTGCAAAGAAGACTACACCTCCGAACTCATATGCTAAGCCTAACCCAATCAAGTGCTATAGATGTGGACAACCTGGTCATCGATCCGATCAGTGCCCTAAAAGAGGTGTTGTGAACATAGTGGATCATGAAGATGAAGTTACGACGAAGTTGAAGACTACGATGGTGGATGGGATCCTAATGATGATAGGGAACAACTCTCATGTGTTGTGCGGCGTCTATTGTTGGCCCGAAAAACAGAAGAGCCACCGCAAAGGCATAACATCTTCCGCACGAGATGCACCGTGAAACAGAAGATCTGTGATGTCATCATTGATAGTGGGAGCAATGAGAATATTGTCTCTCGGCGCATGGTTGAGAAGTTAGAATTAAAGACAGAGAAGCATCCCGCCCCTTACAAGATTGGTTGGATTCGAAAGGGTAGCGACGTACAAGTTGATAAAGTGTGTCGAGTATCCTTTTCCATTGGCCGAACTTATATCGATGAGGCGTTATGTGATGTAGTTGAGATGAACGTATGTCATATCTTATTAGGCAGGCCATGGCAGTTTGATGTTGATGCCACACATCGGGGAAAGGATAATGTTTATATATATTTAAGAAGGATGGTCGACGAATTGTGCTCAAGCCTCTAACTGAGAAGGGGTCTGTCAATACTAATGTGGCTGAAAAGAAGACTTTCTTGATCGTTGACAATGAAGATTTTATGAAAGAAGTGAAGCAGTCCAATGAGGTTTATGCTCTTGTTTTGTCGGGAAAGGAGGATTCTACCACAGCCAAAATTCCACCTGGAGTTCAAACCCTCTTGTAGCAGTTTGAAACAGTTATGCCTAACGATCTGTCCTCTGAATTACCAATGCTTCGAGACGTGTAACATCAGATTGATTTCATCCCCGGATCTCGACTACCAAATCTACCACACTATCGGATGAACCCGAAGGAGAGATTTTACAGAAGCAGGTGGATGATCTCGTCCACAAGGATCTTATACGGCCTAGCATGAGTCCATGTGCCGTTCCAACACTACTAGTCCTAAAGAAGAACGTAGAGTGACGCATGTGTGTGGACAGTAGGGCTATCAACAAAATCACCGTGAAGTATCGATTTCCTATCCCACGCCTGTAAGACATGCTAGACATGTTATCTGATCAAAATTGTTCTCAAAGATAGATCTCAAGAGTGGTTATCATCAGATTCGGATTAGGGAAGGAGATGAGTGCAAGACTGCATTCAAGACAAAAGAAGGCATGTATGAATGGTTAGTAATGCTTTTTGGCCTTTCTAATGCTCCCAGCACTTTCATGCGTTTGATGAATCAGGTATTAAAACCCTTTATCGGCAAGCTCGTTGTAGTTTACTTCGATGATATCCCGATTTATAGCCAGAGTGAGACTGCACATCTGGACCACTTGAGGGAGGTACTAACAGTTTTACAGGAGAACAAGTTGTACATCAATCTGAAGAAGTGCAACTTCATGACCAGTAGTCTTGTATTCTTAGGCTTTGTTGTTATCGCAGAAGGCATCCATGTGGATGAAGAGAAGGTCCGTGCTATTCGAGATTGGTCTATACCAAAGACAGTAAGCGAAGTTCGTAGTTTTCATGGCCTAGCAATATTCTACAGAAGATTTGTCAGAAACTTCAGCAGTATTGTAGCTCCTATCACTGAGTGCATGAAGAAAGGCAAATTCAATTGGGGGGACGATACGGATCGTAGCTTTGCACTGATCAAAGAGAAATTGTCCACTGCACCAGTACTTGCACTTCCAGATTTTTAAAAGGTCTTTGAAGTTGTTGTGATGCGTCTATCATAGGAATTGATGGTGTTTTATCTCAGGAAGGGCGTCCAGTTGCTTTTTATAGTGAGAAACTCAGCGAAGCTCGGCAGAAGTGGACCACATATGAGCTGGAGTTATATGTCATAGTTCAGTCTTTGAAGCATTAGGAGCACTATTTGATCTCGAGAGAGTTTCTGCTTCACACTGATCATCAGGCTTTGAAGACCCTTAATAGTCAGACTACCATCAACCGTATGCATGCTCGTTGGATCGCATATCTGCAGCGTTTCACCTTTGTTTTGAAGCATAAATCCGGGCAGCAGAATAAGGTTGCAGATGCACTCAGTAGGAGAGCTGGATTGTTGGTAACTTTGAAGGCTGAAGTGATGAAGATTTTAAGAAGATTTGGGACGACTGCCTTCAAATAAATCAGTCAAAGGCTTTCATATTCAGGATGGTTACCTATTTAATGGCGATCAATTGTGCATACCCCAGAGTTTACTAAGAGAGCAGATAATTCGAGACCTTCATGCTGGCGGACTAGGAGGACACTTGGGACGTGATAAAACAATTACAGTCATTGAAGAACGATATTACTGGCCTCAGTTGAAGAAGAAAGTAGAAAAATATGTGCGATGTTGTCCAGTTTGTTAAATTGCTAAGGGACAGTCTCAGAATACAGGATTGTATACACCTTTACATGTTCCTGATGCCCCATAGCATGATCTCTATGGACTTTGTGTTGGGACTGCCTCGAACCCAACGAGGCATGGATTCTGTTTTTGTTGTGGTTGACAGATTTTCGAAGATGACGCACTTTATTCCGTACAAGAAGACTGCAGATGCGAGCAACATTGCCAATCTTTTCTTTTGGGAGATAGTTCGCCTTCATGGAGTGCCGAAATCCATTACATCCGATCGAGATTCTAAGTTCTTATCTCACTTTTAGAGAACTTTGTGATAGCGATTCAATACTTCTCTTAAGTTTAGTACTGCCTATCACCCTCAAACAGATGGCCAAACTGAAGTGGTCAATCGTACCCTCGACAATCTTTTTAGATCCATCTCTGGAGATCGACCGAAACAGTGGGATCTTGCTTTGGCACATGCTGAGTTTGCTTATAACTGTAAGGAGTCGAACTACAGGCAATGCACCCTTTGTGATTGTGTATGGAAGGCTTCCGAATCATTATCTCGACCTTGCTCCATTGCATAAGCTTCCCGGACAGAGTGTTCCTGCAGATCATATGGTTGAAAAGATACGGGCTATCCAACAGGAAGTAAAGGAGAAGATAGAACAGTCTAATGCTAAATATAAGAATGATGCTGATCGACACAGGAGGCAGAAGGTGTTTGAAGAGGGAGACATGGTGATGGTGTTTCTGCGAAAAGAACGTTTTCCCGTGGGCACCTACAATAAGCTGAAGAATAAGAAGTATGGTCCATGTAAAATACTGAAGAAGATTAGCGACAATGCTTATGTGGTTGATCTTCCTACAGATTTGGATATTTCTCCTAGTTTCAATGTTGCAGATTTATTTGAGTATTACCCACCAGAAGAAATAACTATTCATGCAAGTATAAGCTCGGGGTCGAGCTCTTTTTAAGCAGGGGGGACTGATGTAGAACACATAGCAGATACGTTTATGTCAAAGTGGGACAGTCAAAAGCCCAAATACGGGCCTTGTCGAAGAAAATAACTAGTTTCGAAGAAACGGTCGTAACTTTCAAATCGTACGTCGGAATTTGATGAATTATATATGAAAATCGACTATCTCGACGAGACGGAGCCATCCAAACCCACTCCTTCGGGTTCGGTTTACGTTTTCCGTTTCGCCAAATTCCTTGCGGTTTGGGAGATATTTGCACTTTTATCTGTTTTTTACTATTTCTAGCAATATTTTAAGAGTCTGTTTTGTTTAGGAAACAAATCCGATTTGATCTCAGATTTGACCGGTGGACTTTCCTAGTAATAAGGAGTCTTTTTAGGAGTTTTAATATTTTAGAAATTCTTTTACTATTTTTGGTAGAGTTTGAGTCCTTGTAGGAGTCTTGTTTCTTTTTTTTCCTATTTAAGAAGAGTCTTGTAAGCCCTAGAGGCATACTTTTGATTAATAAAAATTTTGTTTTTTCCTCAATATTTCTTCGTGGATTCGAAGCTCTTCGTGGATTCGAATATTTTCCTTGGTGGATTCCGAGGCTACTACTTCCGCACTGCGTCAACTAATATAGAAAAGCTAAACATAAAGTCAAGTTTGAATGTTCAGGAAAAATCGTCCATAGAAAAAAAAAATCATCAGGATCTATTTTTATTAAAAAATGAAGAGGTTTAATTAAAAAATATTTTCTAATTGATTAAAGTGGTCCTTGCTCCACTGCCATATGACATCAGCACCTTTTTAGAGGAAGTAGAATATGCATTAAATCCTACGTGGCACAATTTTTGTTTTTCACTTTCATATGTACTTTCAATAAAATTAACACCTAAAGTGATAATAGTGAGTCACTTTCTCACTTTCAATTTTCACTTTCACGTAAACAAACACCCCTTACTGAAAGAGTTTTATGGGGTTAAGATTGATAGATATTAATAAGGGCAGTTTAGATCTTTTACCTATCACATTAACACACTTTATAGAAATTTCCAAGTGCAGGGGCTTTGTTATGATTTTAAAAGTTCATGGGTTTTCTATAATTTATAAAGTTCAAGGGGTTTCATGCAAAACATCCAAAACTCGGAGGGTTTTGTAAAAGTTCCATTTATGGAATGCTTTCACTCTTAAGGTTTTGATCACCAAACAGATGTAATGTATAAGGAACAGAAAACTATGCTTGAACTATTTGGTTTATGTGCATTTGACATTTTTAGCTTATGCTTTGCTTAGAAAATGAAGTTAATTCCCCTTTAATAAACTCTGCTTGAACAATCACCGCTAATTTTCCTTTGTCTATGTTTCCAAATTAGGCAAAATTTTGGAATGTTTATCACTTTCTGTAAAAAGATCTAAACCACATAATCACTAGGGTGAATCTTTGAATCCAAATCTACTGGACCTCTATGTACTATGAGAGCCTACTCTTCTATGAATTTCCTTTAATATGAAGTTCGTAACAAGATCGAAGGCTAACAATAACTTGTAATAGACAATTCTATATCAACATAAATTTGGAGGCAAATATGGTGATACTGATGGTGATGGTGATAATGAGGCCTTGAATCCACCGTGAGACATAAAGAGTAAGAAGGGTGAAGTAAACTTTCAATAAATCCTAATTTTTACAATAATAACTTAAAGAAACAGTTTTCTAACCTAACAATCAAACCTGCTTGAGCCTTGTGCAAGTCCAACAGTCTGCTTAATCCAACCCGGGTTGATCACCCTAGCAATTTTTTTTGGAATAACTACATAGGAAGTAATGAAAGAGATTGACAATCATAAATTTCATCCTTTGATTTACCAGTTTATTTTCACCACTGTCTGTATAATTTCTTTCAGCAAGTATAGCAGAGAGTTTTGAGGAATATTGTTCAATTTAGCTCTTTAGCTCGTGTTTACACCTTTGAGAGAAATTCATGTACCATTTTCTCACCTAGGGAAATACGAAGGGTATCTCATAACTAAAGATACAGATGTAAACCTACTTGCCCATTGTGCATCAAGATTTATCGAAAAGCTCTCACCTGTTTACAGTTGCTGTGGCCAGAAATCTGGGTCTACTACAAAGGCAAGGAAATTCTGTCATTCTTCATGCCAAACTTTATATAATGAGTCATGCTCGACTGGCAAATCCTTTGATGGTGACAGGACTTAGGTGATACTGTTGACAAAGAGAAATCTGAATCTCCAATAGCACTTATCACCCATCAACTCTTTTCCTAGCATTTACCACCCCTAAATTGTAATTTTGAGAAATAAATTGCAGATGAACCCAGTCGCCCTCGTGAATTGAGGTTGCTAAATGCTTACATGAGTTGAAGGCTAACTTGACTTGGTACTTCTATCATGAAGCAGTACCAAAAACATCCCATACCCCTACCTGAATGCAGCACTTCTTGGGCATTCCTTCCATATATACACAGATTCATTTAGATTTGTACTTAATTATACATTACATATGTAATTCGAAACACTCGGCACACACTTTTTAGACATCTATCCTACACTTGACATCCACTTTTGAAACTTGTTGAACAACGACAGTGTCCGTTTCAGTCCATATTGAGTTAAAAATTATGATTTTAAAGGGTTGTATACATATCCAGCTCGGAGTTATGATTTCAGCCCATGTTTTTCAGCTGTGTCCCCATACCCTCCCTTTTAGCAAATTTTCGGTATCTTGTACCCGTACCCATATCAATGCAACTAAGGTTGAAGGTGATAAGTGCTACCGAAGGCATAGATGAGGAAAGTTACCTGCAGTTCACCGTTTTCTTTTTCCACCTCGGTATCACTTGTGCTACCCCTCTAACGGACAGATCGCTATGCAGACAATTGAAAGCCCATCGAGTTACTACTAACTCTACACCAGCTCTAAGCCAGTAGCACATATACTGATATGCATTTCTAAAGAATACCACCCTGCGCAGTGGAATGGCAAGCCATCACAATGACACTTTAACACGCCAAATTTTGATCACATGTGATTCAATGAAAATCTCTAGACTGCTTATCTAACATCAGAAAACTTGGCAATAGGTACTCTCTGCACATATATGCAATCATTGTTATAAAAACCTGCTGTAAAATTATCATTAACTGACCCATCAAAAGCATCTTTCGCCTCCTTCAAAGATGTGCACACTTAAGCAGTCTCCAGATTTCATCCTCTACCATTCTCTTTATCGCCCCATAAATCTCCTTATGGCAGCCATGGTTGAAGATTACACCCTTCATTTTATTATTTTTGCCATGAAAAGGTATTCGACTTTAAGCATTCCTCGAAAACTTTTACTCAAAATTGTGAAAATATGAACTCATAAGTTTCTACGAGGACGAGACATTGAGGTCTAGGTATTGTTGTAGAACATGATGTAGGAAGATGAGTTATTCACCCTTCTAAAAGTGTACTGAGATATAACCCTTTGCACATATGAATTGCACATATGAATGTGTTCATGTGTTTTGTTGGAAGTGTAGGGCTGTAGGCCTCTTCTTTATTTTCTTTCGCATGTAAACATGGTAGTGAGACACAAATATTTGGTTTCTGTTTAACTAATTAGTGTTAACATACTTCCATAATTAGAGTATGATCTTGTGATGGTAATCTGGAAAATACAAACTTCAGTTGAAAGTCATCCGGAACATTCCTCAGATACAGGTTTCTGCATTGTTGAAGCCGATGCTAAAGTATGCATCTTAGTGTCATCAATCACTTGCACATATATATGCTTGTTCGAACGGAAAACACACAGCCTTGGTCTCTCTGGGGTACCCTCAACCTGCACAACAAAAAAATGGAGGAAATATTAGCAAGTCTTTACTATCAAGAAGCATCAAAGCATTAAAACAGAGATATTTGAAAATTACAACCTGCAAACAATTACTGTGAGAATTTTTTGATACAATATTGACCAAGAGAGAAAAGTTGATACAACAACGACGACGACAACAACAACAACAAGGTTTTCATCCCAAATGTTTGGGGTTGGCTACATGAATTCTATTCTTTCATTCGTATGATAAAAGTTGACGATGGAATAAAAACTTGACAATGTAAAAAAGTATAATTTGTGCTGAATTCATTCTTCCACTCTTGAAACTGGGGAATCTGGGATACTGAATAACCGCAAAATCTCTTTAGATCCACATATGAATAAATTTGTTAGGTTTATGCTTAAGACAACATGGACATTTTTAAAAAAGTTTCTAATCATATTAGAAATGAATATATAGATAAAACTGAGAAACATAGCTAGGTAGAAGTAATTTAGTCATCAGACAAACTAACCCTGCTCCACAGTGATGGTCAACAAGGAAACTGATTGACTCAGTGTTGTGCGCGTCGCGGAAGCGTGACAACCAAACGGGCATGCTTCGAGAACCAAATCAAACAAACGTCGAGATAAAGGCCAAACAAATCAAAACAACGGCACAAATCCAAACACAATAGTTTTACGTGGTTCGGCAAGTTGCCTACGTCCACGGGGCAAGAAGGGGATGGGGTTTTCACTAATAGAGAAAGAGTATAAACTGAGATTACAAATTACTCGAAGGAACAAACTAATCTCACCAACAATCTCTTAATCTCTCCAAACAAAACCCTAAACAAATAGCTCAGAAAATACCTCTTTTCTGTGCTCCAAATATCCCCAATTTTTCTTCTCCACCAATTTTCTCTTCCAATTGTTCCATATATATAGAAATCCTAAAATCATAAACATACTAGGAATTCTAAACCAAAACCAAATCAAATTAGGAATCCTAATAACCTATTACCAAAATAGATTAGGAATCCTAATAACCTCATGTTACCAAAATAGACTAGGAATCCTAATAACCTCATGTTACCAAAATAGATTAGAAATTCTCTATCCAACAATTCTCCACCTCGGCGAAGTTTTTTCAAAACTGAGCCGACACCGACCAAACCAAATGCCTCACTTGTTGCGTCCATACACTACGGCAACGGACTCATGACAACGGACTCCATCCACACAAGTCGAGATCCAAACGGGAGTGCGAACACTCACCCAAATGTTAATATCTACTCACCAAATCGGCTGCATCAAAACTGACTGCCTACGTATCCTCTTGCCCAAGGAATCAAGCCTTCACGTAGTTCACCCAAATGGCCTCCAAATGCCTCAATCCACTAGAAGAGTTCGCAACCCTTCTCCAATATCACGATCAAATCTGCGGCTGATAGCACCTCCAATGGCTCCAAACTGAACTAATCCAAACATCTCCACCTGAGATGAACCAATGGCCATATCCAGACTACATCCATCAGCTGTACTCGAATCAATCAACCTATCATCTGCATCCAAATCAACACGATTCTCATTCTGTGTCACATCAGCTAGAATCCCAAATGATACAGTATGATCTGGAGTTTCCTCCCAATGTGGAGTAGCATCACTCTCCACCCGCTGCGATGTCCTGAAGATCTGATCATCACTCTCCACCTGTCGAGAGTCAAACGTGACATACCTGCTCAGAACAAAGTCAGAAGCCAATACCTGATAATCAAACACGCCTCTGAATCCCAAATGTGCTATCGGATCAAATCTCACATTCACGATGTGACCGAGTGCTGGGTAGCCAAATATCTGACGCAACCCAAAATCTGAAGCAGCTCCACCAGATCCCATATCTATACATGCAACAGTCGGCAACCTATACATGAGACGGCCCAAACATGTCGTAGCCTGCACACCAATGCCAATGCTCGACATCAAACGCCAATCCTCCTTCAGAAAGGAACAGCTACCTGAATCTGCCATCTCGCCTTGTCGCCTCAAAGTTTCCACACCAATGAAGTGTCTCCTATTGCCGTAAGCTCGGCACAAATGCAAAAAAGAACCCCTACCATAATCAGAACGTCGGGTTACCTTTCTACCAACACACTTTCTCCATCTGTTGCGGGCTTCTAGGACTTCACACCAACGGGATTTGGTTGCAACCCACCAATGCCTAGAGTAATCCCTAACTGCGAAAACCACATACCTATTACCTCCCAATAATGCTCCCTTGGAAGGCTCTCGAATGCCTGAATGAACACCCCTCAAAAAACCCCTCAAATGATGGATAGAAGTGCCAAACTCCACCTCGATCTTCTCGCTCATACCAATGGGTTCACAGGACTACAAACTACAGGTCAAAGCACTCCTCAAAAATCCAATGCACCGTATCAATAAACAAATAACCCAGCCTCAAATCCTTCTATCTCGGCTAACTATCTCAAAGCACCAACAAATAAAGAATAGATCCAAACTGATAAAGGAGAGAATTTTACCTCCAAATGAAACCCTAACAAGAGTCTCCAAACGATCTCACCCCGCACGACGGCAACGAGATCCACAAATAGGAAAAATCTCATCTTTATCTCCAAACGAAGCCCTCGAAGAGCCTCCAAAGCAATCTACTCCTCCAAATAGCCCAAACGCCAACAAACCAATGCAGAATAAACGAAGAATAGATCCAAACTAAAAAAGATAGTCTTTACCAAAAAGATCCCACCTTTCTCACCAAACGAAGCCCTAGCCGAACTTTCAAATTGATCTACTCCTCCAACCAAGACAAAACCTTAGATCTGAAATCTGGAGCTCTGATACCAATTGTTGTGCGCGTCGCGGAAGCGTGACAACCAAACGGGCGTGCTTCGAGAACCAAATCAAACAAACGTCGAGATAAAGGCTAAACAAATCAAAACAACGGCACAAATCCAAACATAATAGTTTTACGTGATTCGGCAAGTTGTCTATGTCCACGGGACAAGAAGGGGATGGGGTTTTCACTAATAGAGAAAGAGTATAAACTGAGATTATAAATCACTTGAAGGAACAAACTAATCTCACCAACAAGCTCTTAATCTCTCCAAACAAAACCCTAAACAAATAGCTCAGAAAATACATCTTTTCTGTGCTCCAAATATCCCCAATTTTTCTTCTCCACCAATTTTCTCTTCCAATTGTTCCATATATATAGAAATCCTAAAATCATAAACATACTAGGAATTCTAAACCAAAACCAAATCAAATTAGGAATCCTAATAACCTATTACCAAAATAGATTAGGAATCCTAATAACCTCATGTTACCAAAATAGACTAGGAATCCTAATAACCACCTATTACCAAAATAGATTAGGAATCCTAATAACCTCATGTTACCAAAATAGACTAGGAATCCTAATAACCTCATGTTACCAAAATAGACTAGGAATCCTAATAACCTCATGTTACCAAAATAGATTAGGAATTCTCTATCCAACACTCAGACAAAATAGATTAGGAATTCTCTATCCTGCTGAAACAACATTCCCTTTAAGATTTTTTTCCAATGACCTCATTGTTGAATTTTCTATGGAAAAGTTATAATATACTTGACCTCTTCGTTTTTATTTTTTCCCCCTTTGCATTGTTATGTTGGGAGCCGCAGGCTCAAAAGCACGTTCCTATTCCCCACCCTCACCCCAAACAAAAACAAGAAAAACTCGGGTGAGAGTGACATAGCACCAACAAGATGACTGAGTTTTCTTTATTCATGTCTATTCATCTGCATTCTTTTTGGAAAGCAATTTCCATCGCTTACTTCATTGCTATTATTCATGCTATCTTTGAACTGTTCGATCAATGGCTTGATAGCCTAGAGGACTAATTGGTGGCAGATGTGTGTGCTACGGGGGTTCCAAAATGTCATAGCTATTTATCGGGGGGGAAAATCCACTAGAGGGCACTCTATGGAAACTCACACAGTGAGGAAGAAGATGGTGATGTATGCCCCAGTATCAATTCTATATCACAGCAATCAGTACTGCTGCGGCCACTATCAATGCAATCAGGCTACTGCGTTAGCGCAACCGGACCATTGTACTAGCGTAACAACCAACTTTAAGTTATACGTTGGACACTTATCATTATGTGCACACTCCCAATATGACTTTCTATAGAGGACCCTCTATCGTGTTATTTCTCGAACATGAATATGAACGTAACCGAAGGATCTTCTCATCCAGAAAGCCAAGTAGTTGTTTTCTCCATTTCCGATTCTCTGCGCAACCTAAACTAACATGAGGGTAGCGAAGCTATGCATATCGAATCAAACTCCCAAGAGGACGGAATACGAACATGAAGATTTCCACAAAACATTCAAAGCTTGAATTGTCAGTTCTGCAAATACCATAAGCAATTTTTTTCAACTACAATAATCATTACTAAACTGAACTTCACTGCGAAGCATTACCTACCAAATCTAAAAATTTACAGAAAAACAAATTCCTTATGAACAAAAATTAGGATACCCAGGTGAGTATAAACTACGGACTGGCCAAAAATCACAAATAAGGGATGAATTACTGAAAATTTTCACAAGGGTACCATCTTTCGGATGCGCTGGTGGCGAGCAGTTCGGCTGTCTCGGCGAGTGGTGGCCTTGGCTTCGATATTGGAGAACGAAGAGGCGTTTGGGTTGGGAGTAGACAGTCTCTGAACGAAAGGGAAATTAGAGATTGATTTCGATGAAGAGAGGATAGAGGAAGGGGATGGAGCTGCTGCTGGTGATGGTGATAACGAAGCTAACATTGTTTCCTGCTCTCTTTGGATTTTTGTTCTCTTTGTGGGTGACGAGAGGCTAGGCCCCTTATCTTACTTCTGGAAATGTCTTCAGCTTTTTTAGGGGGGTGTTTCCAAATATGCCCCTTAAACAACAGGTAACTAGGAGGGGGTTCCCCCTAGAAATCTCTTTTAAAATAGGGTAATTATACAGAATAATTTTTGCAATTTCCATCTTTAAATTGGGCTTCTGTCGCAATCAACTGACTCCTAGTTAAAATTTTCACTAAAAACCTAATATTAGGGGCTGTTTGGTTGCACACTTTTTGAGAAAACTTTTCTCAAAACATCTGACAATGACAAATTTGTAATTAAAAGTTTTTCAGAGATTTCTGTAAATTGTGTTTGGTTCAGCAAAAAATTTACAGAAATATTTTCTATAAAATATCAAAACCTACCAAATTTTACAAAAAATAATTTCCTCTCAAAGTGAGAGGAAATCACCAGAAATCTGACACATACCATATTTAATTAAAAACCTACCAAATCTTGTTATTTTCTATAAAGTTATGAGCTATTTTCTTGTTTTGAACCAAACAAGCAAAGTACAAAAAACAAGAAAATTGGTACTTTTTGATTTCTCAAAACTTTTCCTATAATTTTTTTAAGAAATACAAGGAAATCATATTTTAGGTGGAAAATATTTCCTATAATTTCTAGAAATTGAACCAAGGAAATCATATTTTAGGTGGAAAATATTTCCTATAATTTCTAGAAATTGAACCAAACACCCCCTTATCCTAAAAAAACTCACATTCAAGGCACGTGACTCATTTTTTTAATGTAGGATACCTTGAACTGGAAAGTTTTAAGTTTACTTTTCATTTCTGAGTGAAAATTTGATTGAAAAGAGGTTGAGTGTAATACAACCTACTTTAAAGATGGTTTACGTATAAATTCAAATTAGAATGTAGTTTCTAGATAATTACTTTCATTTTAGTGCGGTTTTCAGACTTAAACTCATTAAAAGGGTATGTAGTTTCAGTTTTGCAGATAGACACCTAAAACCTTAGATTAATTTTTGTTATGGTGTTTTCAATCACCTAAATGCAATCCTTCGCCAACAACGGGCAGGTGTACTTCTACATGCAATGCCCCAACCAAATTGGTGGCCAGAGACCAACAAGGTTTCCATCTCAGCCGACTCGCAACAAGCCCACTCGACCATCTACTCGACGCCTCACGAGGTCAACTCGAAAGGCGTTACTTCTCGGCGAAGCTAGACTTCAACCTCGAGCTTCCCTCACTGACAACGTCGACGTCGCATTTAATGCTTGGCAGACGCCATCTTATCTCTAGCCCTGATAGTCTTCATGACTCATCGAACCACGTCGACACCGCCATACCTCCGATCACTTCTCATTTAATGTTGAGCTGATCTCTCATCCAGTCGACAACCGACACTTGTAAAGTGGGTGTTGATGCAGCCGTCAGCGCTACATTTCTTCACCGCCATCTTGTGCTCTGGCACAATGACGGTTCTACCCTTTCGGTCTCACTATAAATATAAGTACTATTCTTACATAAGAAAATGAGGATTTTTTTTGGTCGGTTCGGATCGATTCTAAAACCTTTGCATCTTTTGTCGAACCACGTCGACACCGCCATACCTCCGATCACTTCTCATTTAATGTTGAGCTGATCTCTCATCCAGTCGACAACCGACACTTGTAAAGTGGGTGTTGATGCAGCCGTCAGCGCTACATTTCTTCACCGCCATCTTGTGCTCTGGCACAATGACGGTTCTACCCTTTCGGTCTCACTATAAATATAAGTACTATTCTTACATAAGAAAATGAGGATTTTTTTTGGTCGGTTCGGATCGATTCTAAAACCTTTGCATCTTTTGCAAAATATACTTCACACACAAGAACTCTCACAGTTCTTCATTTTCCCCACTCAAGCTCATCAGCTAACTTGATCGTCGGAGAAACCACGGGGGACCGTCCTCTCACATGTTTCTATATGTGCAGATTTTTCAGCCACCCAACTCTAAATTGGATATTCGGGGAAGGAAGCGGCTCCATCATCAACTTCACCCCTATCCAACCACGGATATACAATTGACTGTGTGATTAATAAAACATTAACATTTTTTTTTTTACTATTACCCTCGCATAAGACAATATCTTCGAAAAGTTTCCTCTGGGTGAAAGAGTGAAAAAAATCCCGGGGTGTTTCAACAACAATGAAACTACATGGACGGTAAAATCATAGTAAGTTCTACATAGGGTCTATATGGAATTAACCCTTTGTCTTTTCTTTTTTCTTTTTATCCTTTCTGCCAGTAAAATCAAAGTAAGTTCTTTACAGGTGATAGCTGTAAAATCTTAAATACTGGTGTTTTTGGTTAATTTCATTTTTTTGTGCTGCTTTTAGCTAAACGTTAAAAAAAAAGAGAAGTGAACAATAACCAAACATAAAGGTAGCTCTCTACAGTGACTATCACAGGCTTTAGAGATCCATCAACATAATTGAGCATTGAGGGCAAAAAAGAAAAAAAAAACTTGCATTGTTTTCCAGTGGGCTGATAATTTATAATTGGAATGAAATTGAAAAAAAAAACTCATTTTTGTACAGGGAGAGGTTGCTTTAATAAAAACATCTAAAGCAACTTGTGTACAGTACAGAGCATGGCACCTTCACATCTCTTATTCTAATAACACGTAATCTTGGTGGGCTAACTTGCAATCATTAGCCGCAAACCTAAGGTGTCACAAATCTTAGCAGACACACATAAACAAGAACAAAAGAGGGAGAATCAGCAGCAAACAACATTTTTGCTGATCTGTTACTAAAACTGAGTCCATGTGGAGTAGGTTTGGCCGTATCTCCAATCAGACGGTGCCACGTTATAGGCGGTCCTGATATTACCATCGTCGGTCTGAACCCTGAATGAGAGGCTCTGACCCCTGAGATACGAGTTGCTTTGCCAGTTCATCCCCCAATTCCGGCTCATCGCCAGCCAGTTTGTGCTCGAACCTTTGACCCACATTGCCTTTATCACCCCGCTTCCTCCTACATTGGTCACGAGAACGAGATCGAAGTAGTCCCTTCCGTTGATCGTGAACCTCATGCCTCCACTCCTCCCGCACTGCACCCTGCGATCGAAAAACAGGCAGGTTTTATTTACAGTAAAACAAACGTTTTTGCCAAACCAGTTTACGCAGGAGCTGCGAAACAGGCCCTAATGGTTACCTTCTGTAATACACGGGCACAATCCCTGCACGATATATGGCGATGGTCTCCCACGCAGGCTGAGCCATGTCAAAATGCTGCC